TTTTTATTTTTATTTTTTACCATATAAATTAAAATTAATCACCATCAATGAAACATGGTGTTCAATTTCTTACACAATATTGAAATAGTTTTTATCTTGTATCACACTTACTGACGTTCGAAGCCTGACCCGAACGAGACGGGTTGAATGGTCGACCGTTCATCCCCCCTTAGAAACGCATTTGGGACAAACCTGAAAGCAAAAAAAAAGACTATATTTTGAAAAACTGTTAACAGAACAATGTTTGTTCCGAGGTTGCATAAAAATTCTTTATCAAATTTAAAATTAAAATAAAAATTTAAGCACAATTTTTATAGGCTACAATAGTGGTCCGAAACAAAAAATAATAATAATAATGAATTAAAAATGGTAAATGATTTTGATGTGACCTTGATGTAAAAGTTGTTTAAGTTTTTTTTTTTGCATAACATAATTGCTTTTCAGTTTTTTTTTAGGCTACCAGAGTGGCCTGGGGCCAGTTGCCTGGCCGTGCAAAAAAAAAAAAAAAAAAAAAAATTGAACTTTATTTTTTATTTAAAATTTGGTAAAAAATTTTGATGTGACCCCGACCGAGGTAAAAGTTGTTTAGTTTATTTTTTTGCATAACATAAATGTTTTTCATGTTTTCTTGATATTTTTGATTTTTTTTTTTTTTTTAGGACCTTCCCTGGGCCTTGCATGGTTGGCCCATCCATGAAAATAGGGTGTCTCGGGGGGCCCGGCTGGTAACCTGTTTTTTTTTTTTTTTTTTTTTTAAATCTTCGTTTGTGCTTGTACAGCCGGACCACCCAATAATTTTTTTTTTATTATTATTTTTTTTCTTGGTTGAGGAAGTGGTCTCGGACCACTCGAGTAGCATAGAAAATAACGTTTTGTGTCTCTTTTTCATCTCTATCTGTGTCTGTCTCTCTCTCTCTCTCTCTCTCTCTCTCTCTCTCTCTCTCTCTCTTCATCTATCTATCTATCTATTTATTTATCTATTCATTCATCTATCTGTCTATCTAATCTTTCTCTCTATTTAACTCACACACTCCTCCTCTATCTCGCTCTAGCCCCCACCCCTCTTTTCGAAAGCCAGGGCACCCAACTCATGCCACGGTACACGCTCGGGTGCCTGACCGGGCATGAGCCCCGAACAGGGTTCCAGGCAGTCTCAACGCAAAATATATATATAATAAAAATTCTCAAAAAAAAAATTGTTGTGTAGAATTGCAATACAAACGACTTTTGGTTGAGGGTCAAATTAAAATTCCTTACACAATCGGAGATAAAAAAGGAAGTAACAGAATCACACAAACACATCCTTTGAAACAACTTTAGCCCCTTTTAAACCAATTTATACCCCCCTCCCCCCCTTCTTGACAGCCAACTCGCAAAAAAATAAATGAACACGGATTTTGGGTCCTCTAGAAAAACGCACAAGAAGAAAAAAAAAAAACGCACGGGTGCCCGACGAGGCAGGATTGACCGACAATGATAATCTTCCTAGTTTCTGGCATAAAACTTCATTTGTTTTCTTTAACCATAATTTAAAAAAAAAAAATTTATTAAATGATTATTCTTAGGGAGTTGGAGACCAACATTGTCGAGGCATTCCCTCGCCATTTACTTAAATCATAATTTAATGGTAGCCAAAGTGAACAAAAAATTCAAAAATTTGTATTATGACTATTATTTATCTAAATCACAGCCCTCATACATATCGGGCATTTACCCATGGTGGTCATACACTTAGGAAGATTGATGCAACAAACCTTAAGTTTTTATGTGTCGTTCATTTCACCTCTCGCTATTTGTTAAATTTAGCAATTGTCTCATGACCTCATACACGTATTAATTATGGTTTTCTTTATAAAGTAAATAAATGACGAAAGTTTTTATTTTTTGTATATTTATGAATGTTAACAATCTTATATTATTGTGGTCATTTATTAAGGGTGTATTAACTCTCAAAAAAATATTTCATATGTGGTTTGAAGACCTTATACAAATAGGTAAGAAAAACTACCCTCATGCTACAGATTGTCAATTATATTAAAAAAAAATGAACTATGTCAATCATGTAAATTATAACAAAAAAATTGAACTATAATAATAATTAAACATGTTTTTTCACTTTATCTTTTACAAAAGACAATCGTTATGGAATTTGGTCAAATCATAATTATATTTATATTTGACATTGATATAATATAAGTTTTAATAACTTTAAAAATCAGACTAATTATTACACCACCACTCCCCATAACAGTCGACAATAGACTTTCTGGTAAGTTTTCCATATTCAAAGGAAGGTTAAGGACAGGTGGACCCAATAGATGGAAATGTTAGCAATAATGTTATTAAATATATATATATATATAAATTTTTTACTTCTAAGAATGCATTGAAAGTTTTAAAAATTTGAATTTTATAAATTATATCATAATCTTTTCAAAATAAATAAATAAATAACGAAAAAAACTTCTGCGTATTTTTCACCGCTCTCAATAATAAGCCAAAATGATTCACACGGGGGAAACAAAATTCGAACTTCTATGATTTTTTATGCTTAAAAAAATACAAAAAAAAATAATAAATTAAACACGATATAAGATCGTGATGATTCCGAATATAATATTTTTTTTGAGTACATATATTTTTAAAACCGTAAAATAAATTTGCATGGCAGACTGATAAATTTTTTTTTCTCACTTTTGTTAAGATTGTTATACTAGTACATATGATAAAACATTACTATGAATTCAACCTGAATTTAGAACTGTCAAAGGGAGTGACAATTTAAGAGAGTAAGGGACAACAAATAAATTTCAACATATCGTAGCTAATCAAAACATGTCATTAACAATTAATAAGTTACAATGAATTTAATCAGATGCATAAATAATTATCATTATGTAAATAACTGTTTTTGAAGAAAAAAAATGTTCTTCCAATCAAAACCATAAAAGTACATGAATGGACTAGGCTACCAGTCGGGCCGCTCGCGCCACCCTATTTTCCTGGGCGGCTCGGTCGTTCAAGGACTAGGGAAGGTAAAAAAAAAAAAAAAAAACTATGTTATTGTGATAGGCGTCAGGCTGAGGGAGAGTCGAGGGAGAGGAGAGAGGGAGGGAGAGAGGGAGAGCACACACACACACTCACTCACTCGACACGACCAAGGGTCGGACGCAGACACAGTGGCAAGACAAAGTCGAAGTCTTGGATTCCGAATGTCGAAATTGCAAGTCCCACTGAGTACGAGCACAGCAGCAGAAAACTGGTACGAGATTGGTCCCCGTACCGTACGGGGAGCCGGTATAAGTACCGGTGACACGTACGGTACGAGGGGCATGTCTGAAAAGGCCCCCGAGGGCAGAACTGAAAAATGTGGTATTTGAAAGTGGCGCCCAAATTGCAGCATGGCACCAGTTGTCGAAAATCCTACGGTACCAAAGGAGGGGTTTGGAAAAGGGGTGCCAAATCGAAAACGGGATGCAACCGAAACAGCAAAACGATAGACCAAGGATCGAGCCCTGGCGGAGTCCGTAACACTATCCCCTCCCTCTAGAAGGCAACGTTCCGGCTGCCAAAAATCATGAAGCAATGCTGAAATCTGTGAAGGACGGGACGGGGCCGATCACTGGTTAACAAGTCGAAAGGGAAGAGGGGTATAATGTGGGTGGCATGGGCTGCAGGAGTAAGAGGGAGTAGGGTTTGGTACTGGTGAACAAAGTTGTCCTACTGATGAACTAGGGGGGGTTGCAAGGAATAGGGTAGTCCTACAAATGAACTAAAGGGAAGATAGGGAGCAGGGTGGTCCTACTGATGGACTAAGGGGACTGCATGGTTCGCTATAGGTTAAGGGGGAACAGAGTTCAGGGAACAGGGAAACTTCTATTGATGTTCTACAAGGTAAGGGAAACGGTGTTCAGGAAAACAGGGTATTTCTATTGATGTTGTAGTGGGTAAGGGAAACAATGGTCAAGGGAACAGGGGATGTCCATTGATGTCCTAGTGGGTATGGGGAACAATGGTTAGGGAAACAGGGATCTGCTAAGGATGTTCTACAAGGTTGTCAAAGTCAGGAAAAATAAAGATGAAAATGTTTGTTCAGGATGCAAAGGCTGGTGTGTCCGAAGGAGTCAGAAGCAGAATCTCATGTAGGAACAAAGTGTCCAAGTGTTTTGAAAGGGGGTCTGCAGCGGTCTTGATCAGGTCTTTGGAGTAGGTGGTAGAAGCGGTCTTTGGCAGCTGCGATAGGTAGAAGTCCAAGAAGCGTAGTAGTAGTTCAAGTGTCAAAGTCCAAGTGCTAGGGTGCGTCCGGTACACGAACTGCAATGAGGTATGATCTGGAAGCAAGGAAGTCGTAGACTGATGCAAAGATCCATGCCACAAGTTGCTGTTCCAGTAAGTCTGAGAGTCGGGATGTCGGCCAATGAAACAGCATGGTGGCCAAACCAGCTGCATAATCTCCATGAACAGTGAGGCAGCAGGCCATCGTCCTTGTGCGCTTGCCATTAGATCCTTTATCGTCGGCGTCACGCAAGTTCATAAGCATTGGACAAGAGAGACAAGGTAGTGGAGAGGACAGATGGGACAAGGCTAGGCGAGGGCAAGGGCAGATCAGACATCAGGAATGAGGATAAAGGGAAGGGTGGACTGGGTTCAAGGGTGTGTGTAGAGCAGGGTTGCAAGGTTGTAGCAAGGTTTATACAGGGTTTTAGGGTTGGATTGCGAGACACAGAAGGACAGTGTTCAGATGGAGGGAGGCCCGACTGTCGCGGTGGAGGAAGAAGTGGGAGTAGAAGGGCCGGGTCCCGTAGAGCGAGGGGCCTGTCGAGTAAAGTGGCTAGCGTCGGGGCAGTTGGTCTCTTGATTACCTAACTGGCGGCAGCGAAAACACCCTTTGTTTTCCTGGAGGTATATGCGTTCTGCAGGTGTAAGTTTCTGGAGGCGGCGGGGTGGAGAGGAAGAAGGTGGTCGAGAGGCACGATCCTGGCGTTCCATCCGTATAAGGTGGGCGGTCTGGAGGTCCTCGATGGTGAATTGGGAGGGGTCGAGAGAGGCAGTGTCAAAGTCGTCATCGAAGGTGGGTTGAGTGGTGTCGTTATGGAAAAAGAGGGGGCGGGAGAGAGCGATCACAAACTTGTGATGGGGGTGGAGGAATCGATCGTGGTGAAGCATGCGAGAGAGGAGGTCATCAAGGGGCATGTTGGCTTCGTGGGCGAGGGCGGTTGCAAGATCTTTGTGGCATACTCGCTTGATGCGAAAGATGAATGCAAAGTCGGGAATGATGGTGGTGGGGAGGTGATGGCGGAGGAAGCGGATGTATTGGACGAAGCGGTCCGTGGGACCGGTCTGGCGGAGGTGGCAGAATTGTTTGAGGTAGTCGTCAATGGTTTTCTGGGGGCAGAAGGTGGCAGCGAGAAGTTTGGCCCATTGGAGGAAGGAGTGACGTGGTCCTCCAGAGGCTCGGCGGTTGCTGACTTCAGCCATCCACCATTTGGCGGCATTGCCGAGGAGGCGGGAGGTGGGAATGGGGAGCCAGTGGGCAAGGGGCATGTAGTGGAGGTGAAAAGAGTTCTGGAGTTGGGTTAGGACGAGGAAAACGTCCTCGTGGGGGAGGCCGGAGAAGGACATGATTTCGCCAGATCGGAAGGAACGGGGGATTTCCCCGTCGCGGTGAACGATCTGCGAGAGGGTGTTGAAGCTGAGGTTATCGGGGGTGGTGTCGTAGCAGGTGTGGTCGATTTGGTTGTTGTCTTCAAGGAGGTAGTTGGGAAGGAGTTATGGCATTGCGGGTTTCATTGCGGGGTAAACCCCCGAGGTGGCTTGGGAATAGGTGGGACGGATGGTGGGGATGGTGGAGGTGGTCATGATGGGTTGGGAGAGGGTTTGGGAGTGSGGGGGGGGGAGAGGGGTGACGTGGATGGGCGAGGAATGAGGCGGTGTGCTAGATGTGCCGGATGAGGGAGGAGGTGGAGGGAACGAGACGATGGTGGAGGTTGAAGGGTTGGTGGATGTGGTGGTGTGGTAGGAGTGGAGGAGGTCGGCGGGGGGGTGTTGCTGGAGGCGGCTGTGGAGGAGGGAGTGGTTTGCGCTGTGGAGGTGGAGTGGTTTGCGCTGTGGAGGAGGGAGTGGTTTGCGCTGTGGAGGGGGGAGTGGTTTGCGCGGTGGTGACGACTGTGATGGAGGGGATGGTCCCTTCGATCGTGGTGACGCGGTCGCATATGGACGACATGTTGGCCTTTATGTCGCCGAGAGAGGCGGTGACGGAGGTTCGGAGGGTATTGAGTGCGTGGAGGAAGGCGGAGAGGTCGGGGGTGGCGGTGTTTGGTGGTGGTTGTTCGCCTGCGAGGTTGCGGGCGATGCTATCGACTGAGTCAGTGCGGATGTTAGACATGTTGATGGAGGATGCGGCCATGTCGGGGGACGAGGGGGTGGAGGACGTGGCCTGAACAGGTGTGGAGGATGCAGCAGCAGCGGTGGCGTCGACGGCGGCACGTTGGGAGTTCTTGGTTTGGCGTGGTGGCATGTGGAGGGTGGGGGGGAGAATCCCTTATTTATTTATCAATAAATTCAAAAATAAAGATAATCGCCAAGGTTTTTTTTTTTTTTTTTTCCAAATAAACGTTGAACAGAAAGAGATAATTAATTTTCGAAAAAAATTAAATTCTGATTTAGAGTTAAATTTATTTACAAGAAAACGTGAAATTTTGAAAGAAAATATTTTTGAATTACGGGGAAAAACAATTCTGAAAAGAATTAGGAAGAGGAAATTTTTAAAATATTTGGCAAGAATTTTTCAAAGGAAAATGTCGACATTTCAGAAAAAGGATAATTAATTTCGAATAAAGAGATTAATTTAGTCGTGAATTAATTGAATTTATTTGAAATTAATTGAGGGGTTTAGAATAACATTTTTAAAAGAAAAGTACTTCCGAACTGTAAAAAGAGTTTCGAATTTCAACGAAAATTGCGAAAAGAAATTGTGAATTAAAATACTGGGAAAAATAATTAATTAGAATTATTTTTGAATTTTCAAAAGAGATATCGAAAAATAATTTAATTAATTCTAACGTATTTTCAAAATTTTTGAAAAGATTAAAAATAAAAATAAAAAAATTAAGTAGAAATCTAGGCTACCAGAGTGGCCCGGGGTCACTTACCCGACCAGGCCAAAAAGATAAAAAATATATATATATTTTAAAATTTTATTTTATATTTTAAGTTTGGTAAAGAATTTCGATGTGAGCCTAAGGCAAAAGTTGTTTAGTTTATTTTTTTACATAACATAGTATTTTTTCAGATTTTTTGGATTTTGTTTTTTTTGTTGGGACCTTCCCTTGTCCTTGCACGGGCTATGAACCCGGGACCCGGGCGGCTTGGCTGGTAGCCTAGGTAGAAATGGTTTTTTTTTTTTTTTAATTAAATTAATTTTAAAATATTTTCAAAATTTTCGAAGAGAAAAACGAATGAATTGAAAGTAGTTTCGAATTTCAAAGAAATGTCGAAAAAGAAAAACATTTCTACCATATTTCGAGTTACGAAAAAGAAAGAGTTTGATTAATTCTAAAATGTTTTCCAAATTACAAAATTCCGAAAAAGAATTAGGAATGTTTTCGAATTATGAAAAAGAAATGTCGAAAAAGAATTTAATTAATTCTGAAATTTTTGAAAAATTTCGAGAAAATAATTAATTAAACTGATTTTCGAATTTCGAAGATGAAATGTCGAGGGAGAATGCTTAATCCTATGTATTTTCCAAATTTTTGAAAAAGAAAAATATATATATAGATATTATATATATATGTATATTTGGGAGAGAGAAAAATAAAAAAATGTCGAAATGAAACGTTTCAAAAATGGATTGTTAGAAGAAAATAATAATAAAGGGATAGATGGGTAACTGAAGGGCGAAGCGATCCTATCTATGATGATGATGATGATGATGATAGG